GAAGAAGAAGAACAGGCAGCTCAAAACATCTCATACCTGTTGGCAGATGATATGGAGCTTGATTTTGATGATGATGATGTTCCAGTATGGCGCTCCATTGTCGACAAGTATAGAGGAGGTGATCAGGTGCTACAGGGAGAAGCTGTGAAGATTACTCACCTGTTCAGGGATCAAAAGGACAATGAGAAGGCGACAGAAGCTTTCAGTTCAGAGAGGACAGATTTTTATGAGACCTCAGGACCTCTTCCAAGAACCGAGGGAGAAAATCTTGTAGAGGACTTGCTCACCAAGGATGTTGCAGAACAAGCTTTTGAAGCAGGTGAAGAAGTTCCTCCTTATACAAGAGTCTCCACTATTGCTGGTGAAGTCTATACTGGAAGTATGACACTTCTAGAAGATGAGAATATGGAAGAGGAAGTTCCTGAAGAAGATCCTGCAGTTGAACCTGAAAGGGAACAAGAAATATTTGATGAAGATGCAGGTATTTTTCCTTCAGAGGAACCAAAGATGGAAGTTGACCAGGAGGAAGCCAAGGAAGAGTCAACACCATACTTTCTGTCAAGAGAGATAGGTGAGGACTCGACTGCATCGCACTTACCATCAGGTGAGATGGATGCTAACCTTGATGATACTTCAGGTCAGCGGAAATCGAAGAGAAGCCGCCTGAATAAAATTCCTGATCCTCATTTTCATGAAGAAGTTCAGGATGATGCAACCATGGAAGAGAAGAAAGAGGCGGTGGAGAAAATAAAAGAGGTCAGAGAGGATGATGGAGAGAAGAAATTGGAGGCTGAAATCCAAGAATCTTTTCCATCTGAAGTAGTTGTTGAAAAGGATACAACAAAAGCTGACGATACCTATGAATTGCATACTTCACCTTTGAAGTTGCTTGGAGAGATTACAGGAGATCCAGGTATTGGCTTTTATCAACTATGCTTCAGGGAAACTCATGCAAGATTGCTGAATCATGTTTGTTTCAGAAAAGGTGAGATTTCCCATCCTCATTATCAGTCAAGGATCAACGAGAATGATTTTGTTCGATCCATTCGTAATATCTGTCCAGTACCTCCACCTGATTGTTATGAACATGAACCAGAGCATGATTTGAAGAGATTCTTCATCAATGATGACCGCATCATTTATTTGGATGGCAGGTATCAGGTCGATCCAAAGGCCCTTGAAAGGGCAGAACATGCTCGAAGGGAATTGGAGGAGACGAAGAAGGAACTCAAGAATGAACTGGAAGAATATGGTCCCAAGGGACCCAGTTGGGACTTTGTCACCTTCTATGAAGAGCTGTGCAGAAGGTTCCTCAAGGGAAGAATAGAAGAACCATATGGAACTAATTTATTGGCCAGCTCAGAGTCCTTGACATTTTTATCCTGGAACTATGGCAACATGGTTCGTGGTCAGAAGTACACCACACCAAGGTTTCTCCAAGGACTTGATGGTGCAATGAAGCCACGCAAGCAGAGTGCCATGTCACTTCAATATGAGCAATTTGAAAACAACCTTTTCTTCAACATGCTCTTCTTTTTACGTGCACATGTCGTGATTCTCCAGGAAGCTCATCTTCTTGTTCCTGCCAAGGAATTTATTGAGCAAAAGAATTGGACAGTTTGTTTCAATGATTGGGAGAATCTTGCAGTGATGGCTAGATTGGCACCAGGTGGATATGTCAAGATCATTGCTGGACATGATCAAGAACTTGGTCACTGTGAACAGCGTGATGTAACTTGGGCTATCTACGAGATTTGTTTTGGAGAAACAAGGCCTCGTCAAGATTTCAAGGATGCAGACTTTGAATTTGATGACTATGGTCCTGAGGACAAGCGTGTTCCACTTACTCGAGCGAACATGCATACCATCAGAGTCTGTAATTATCATGTTGATACACACCGTGCTGTGGATGCCCACCTACTGACAGGAGAACAAACAGCATTGATGCTTTACGAGTGTTTTGTCTATGAGGTGGACATCATTTCTGGTGATGCAAATAGTTTGGCCTACAGAATGTCTGGGTACAAAAGACAGCCAATGGCTAATTACTATTATAGCACCATGCAGCATTGGATCCGCAAGTTTTCAGAAGCTCGTGTAAAAGCAGATCTTGGTATCAAGGCACCTATTCCCAGAACATTTTACAGTTCAACTTCACAGGTCCTCAAGAAGTGTGAAGTTTACTTTGATAAACTTTGGGAAGAATATTCTACGGTTGAAAGAGAAGAATACCAAGGATCACAGCTTGGCGATACATGTTTGTCTACCATTGTTGAATGGGGTCATTCAATGAGTGAAGAGGAATATGAAAATTCCACAGTGAGCACAAAGGAGTTCATCTGTAATTTTTCAGAGAACTTTGCTATGATTGATACAGAGGTTATGTGCTCAAGGCCCACTGACGAGGACAGTCATGGTCCAATGTTTATTTCACTCAGACCAGCTTCCTTTTCATCTGGAGACAGAAGACAGTATCGCATGGGAGCAACTCTTCATGAGGCGAACTTGCGGAGGAAGGAGAGACAAAGGCAGAATAAAAAGAAAGGAAGGCCGCCAACTTCTGATCAAGCAGCTTCATCGTCTGCAGCGGCATAATTCCTGAGCGAAGGCTGAAATTTAAATGATGGCTAGGAAGTGAAGATACTTCTGGTTACAGTTGATACTTTGCTTCCAGGCTTGACTTTAAGTTGCCAGGCTGAAGTTTTAATGAACTCTGGTTTGCAACCAGAAGAAACTTTTTATCAAAGAAGATACTCCTGCATTCCAGGTTTATATGCTTTAGCATTTGGATAGGTATGGACAGTTTTACATAACTGATGATATCTATCATCATCGCTCTTATGAAGTGACCTCTAATGGACAACCAGTCATGGTTGATGATTAAGTCATTTCATGATTTGCAATTGTAGTGCAAGATTTTTTGTACATACATTTGCCGGTATCTCCTTCTTGTGTTTTTGATGTGAATGAGAAAGAGTCCTTTTGATGCAGTTTTATTTTGTCTGTGAATGAAAGCGGTCGAGACCACGTCACGAGAAGATTATTCCTCGGACCGTACGCTCCTTGCATTTTGCAAGGCATCTTAATTCATTGCATTGTGCGGTCTTGAATTTTTAGTTCTTTGTTACGCGAGTGTCGTTTGATTCTTTTATAGGTCTCTGTAGAGAAAAAGCCGCTTTCCCTTTTAGTTTGATTTAGCTCAGGCCATAAAGAGCTAGTGAGCGCCGATACATGGTATCTTCGCCTGCGAAAAGTACAGTCTCCAGCCGAGGTACATTATCGATTTGATTTTGTACTTGAGGTGAGTCAGCTATTGCTCCCTCACTGTATTTAGTAGCTATGAGATTACCTTCTCCAAAGTGTGAAACACACTGGATTAGGTAAGTATATGGCACCGTAGTTTTCTTTTAAGTTGTCAGAGCTAGCTGGACTGTTTTAGCCTTGCAGTAGAAAAAGAGTATGCGACATACGCAACCAGCTAGAAGTGGACATGAATCTTGTGCCTGCTGAAAAGTAGAGCCTCCTGTACAGGGTTCCACTCCAACAGCTGATATAGTGTGTCCATGCTTGACTGCTACAAGGCTCAAGAGAGGGTCAATGGACCTAAAGAGCAAGAGGATAAGACTCTGCGCATAAAAGACACTAGCGGTCTGCACCTCTACCGTGTACGCCCTAGTCACTCTTTCACCCCCCCCCCACCCGGCCAGCAAACGAAGATGTCGGGGACCATTTCTCCGAGAGATAGGCTGCAGCTCTGGGTTAATACATTTTTGCTAAAGCAAAAGGAAAACTCAGGTAGCGTAACCGCTACCTTTCGTGACTTGTGAGTTAAGTGAATACTCCCATGGTTCAGTGATCAGTTAGCATTGAAAACTAGCCAAGACATGACATGGCACGTGGTTCCTTCTCCCCAACACATGAGTCGTTCCAACCGCCACCCGCCGAGCTCCCCGGGCGCTCGAAGCGTTGTGGGCGTCGGTCGGTCCTGAGGTCAGCCAGGGTGTTTGGACGAAAAGAGGACCCACTCTAGCACCCCAATGTCTGGGGGTGTCAAACCATGTCAAATCTCTAACCAGCGGCTATAGTTCAATCAGGAAAGGATAACGCGGCAATCACAGCAAAGCACGCACGTGATCCTCGTGCACTGCTTCGTGCTTCGTGCGAGGCGGTGACCAAGCACCGCCCTTGAGGGTGCAAATCACTAATGTAGGTCTGAGCCCTGGCTGGACCAGGATGAACTCCTTGATTCGAGCTCGGGCTCAGGAGGTACATGCTCTTGCCAGCTGTAAACCAGCCTGGACCTCCATAGTGCTGAATTTGTGCTGCGGGTGATGCGTGACATGCATTTTAATGACCGAGATCGCTGGTGGGAATCTTTTCCCCAGAAGGGCGATCCCCTAAAGTCCAAAAAAGAAGGAAAGGCAGACCAAATAGGGGCCAACCCTATATATTTATTAGTTATATTATATACACATATACTCTAGAAGTCCAAAGACGATTTTTTGACCAACTGAAGTACAGGAAATTCCTTGACTCGGGTCACCTAGTCAGACCATTCTTTGTATAGTCCTCATTCATTACGTGGATGGCATGGCCCCGTAAGGAAGACCATTTTCCTCTACAAACAGGGGGCGAACTCCACTTCTGAGTTCCAGGGAACCTGGACCTTCAAAGGGGTGTCCTGTCTGGAGATCCCTAGGTAGTGTAGGGGCTTCCATGGGTGACCCCTTTGAAGGTGCTGGAATTTACTTCAACTAGAGGACGACGACGACGATCCCCTCTCTTCAGACCTGCCTCCACCACCGGCTCAGGACCTGATGATGGTTCCAGGAGCGGCTTTTTTGGTGGATGCCCTCATGGCCTCCACCCTAGTAGCGTCCTCTTGCTCCTAGTAAGGCCAGGAGCCCCCGTTCGTAGCAAGGCCCTTGCTAGTAATTCGCGACCTTGGAGGGATGGACGTGGAGGATGGCTGAAGAGTTCCCCAACACCAAAGCCGTCCCCTAGAATAGCTTTGGGGATGCTTCTTCAGGAGTTCTCCTTGGCATGGTCATGCCCAACCCCAAGTCATGTCCGGCTCTCCCAAACAGTTCGAACTCTTCAGCTGGGCCGGGAACCCCGGTGCTCTTCTTCGGTGCGTCTTTGGCGTTCTCAGTCTCGATCGTCTCAGTCTGCCCCTCCGTAGTCGAAAACTGCCCGCCCTGCCTCCGATGCACAGCCTAGGAAGATGATGACAAGCCCAGTGGGTCGAGCGACCCTCATGCAACAAACCACCGGCGACAACAGCTGACGAAGCAGTTGCCAGAATCCAAGCATGCAAACAATGAAGTGCCCCAGGATTCCAAGAGCCATTGATTTAATGGTCTGAATCCCAAAGAACCATTGTCTTACTAATAATGATTTTGCACTACAAAACCAGGTCAACCATTGTTTTAATGGTCTTTGAAGGCTAGGGAATATAAACCTGATTGTGTTGATATGTGCTGATTCTTGTTGCATCGGATTTGGGACATCCGATTCCAAAAAAACCTAAAGCCTTCCTGGCTGGATTCCTGTCAAGGATATCCTTCTTGTCGGGATGTGGGATTCAGATTCATGAAGCTTTGTGGTGTATGCCTCCAAGAACGATGCTCGGTTAGGTGCATGCGTACAATGGATTGCAACAACAAAAGGCTGACTACTGACATCCGAGGCATTTTCGGAGCAAAATCCCACTCGAACCACATCATAACATATCATAACTCATTCATCCTTTACAGCTACAAACTGAGAATGCATCTGAATCGTTGAGATCCCAAACGGAGTGCATCAGTTGCATGGACTTCTCCATGGACTTCGCATGGATTTTCTTCCCATGGATTTCTGTTTCATCCAACGACGCTTTTGATGTCTCCACTCCAGCTGGCGCCCTCCCTCCTCCTCCTCCGTTCCGAGACCGGTGTCTTTCGGCGCCGAGGAGCGGAGCGTCCGGAGCTTCCGAGCCGAGGCCGTAGAGCCTGGCGGATTTCGGGCCGGTCCGACGTCGGCGATGGCGCTGCTGTGAGTGGGCCCCGTCTGCCTTTCTGATCCCATCCACGATAGGGTCTCCGGATGATCCCAGTGACCACTATATAAGGAACCAGGGATTCGAAGTCTAAGGTTTTAGTCTTTGGAACCACTGGTTACCAGCTATAGTGGTAACTGGATCCGCTGGGAGGGTCTCCGGATGATCCCATCCGAGATCCTGCGGAGGGAAGCCGTGCCAGTGAACACCTTGGAGTCGAAATCGAAGCTGTGCCCGATTCCCACCGGTGCAAGGGGCGCCTTTGCCTTCCAAGGATGACCATTGCAATGGTATGGTCATTGTTCTCCCTGTTTGAGCATGTTTGAACTCTTGCACCAACACCAGCACGATCCCAAAGGATTCCGTATTGCTTTGTCGTGCGGGAAAAAGAAAACGCGCGCGCACGCGCGCGGATGAATAGAACGCACGACCAAACCTCTGCATGTGCTTGATCCGCGTTCGACGCTGCCTCGGTATCTGATGCTTCCGACTTCCACTACGTTTACGTTTGGGCAAAGGTTCGCTACTAGGAGCAAAGGGCATCGCTACTAGGGGCTCCTGGCCAGACTACTAGGAACAATTGACAATGTTTGCCATTAGAACCAAGACATTTATAGAATTAAGAGTAAGTTTGCCGAACGGTGGCTCTCTCGAACGAACGCATCTGTGGCGAGTAAGACTGCGTAGTAGACACCCTTTGTCGAGTTGCAATGACAATGATCTCCGACATCCCCATACTTTTCAAGGCTTGCATTTCTGGATTCAATATGATTCAACTGGCATTGCTGCAATGCCACCACCACGTTTCCCGAAGAACGTCTCAGTCACGGGCTCTTCCAAGGAAACCGCCTTCCTCAGTTGAGCACCGCTGGCTGGCTAGGCCCGCTAGCCGCTAGGCTTGGCTTGGGAGCTCTGCCCCGCCGTCCAAGTACTGGGGGAAGGTCGGGGCCCTTTTCATCAGCCACACCGGTCGCGACTTCCAACCACGTGAAGGTCCTCACGTCTTTCGCTCTCGACGCCCAAAAAGACCACCCTGTACGGAAGTTTCGAAGCCAAGTGGCGGTGGCTTCCCCGACTTCTTGGGGCCTAGCACATCCGGCGAATCATTGCGGATGTAGAAGGCGGTGGTGCAGACAGTGAGTGTGCCTCTCCGGGCCTAGTTCTTCAAGACTCATCAATTCCAATGAATTTATACATGATCAGTCATGGATGCGAACCACTTTCGTCTGGAGCCGTTGAAAGACTCTGCCATTTGTCCTGCCTGCTGCGCGCTTCGCTGCCGCCCTGCCTTTCCAGTTTGCAGGAGCCACACCCAAAATGATCGCAGGTCTAGAGTCTAGATCCCCAAACACAAGAATCCTTATAGTGGCCCCAAATAGCTAAAAACGGTTTCCAGGTTTCCAATACATTTTCAAGATCTACTTAAATCCTTAACATGCTTAACATATATGGCCGTGTTTCAACAGCAGGATACCTTGCTTGAGCTACTTGGCAGGACGTTTGCTACGTAGGGCTGGCTTTGACTCATCCCCATATTCAAGAATGAGACCCTTCGCAAGCGCGCGACTCGAAACCCCGGAGTATACAGTTATGAAGCAGTCGGTTGAGAAACCGATGGATCGTCTCTCAGAAACTGGACTGAACATGTTTTAGCATGCCTGTCTTTTAACCGTTTTTGAGTCTTGGGCACTAAACCGAGCCTTCCTTATCCTCTTGAATTTCTACTGGGGTCGGTCCTGTGGGCGTGGCATGGTCCACGCCTGAGCTGGTGGAACTGCTTGAGCCACCTGCGGGTGCAAGCATGGAGATTGAAGCTGTGACCTTATGATGTCTGCTAATGAACACATAGGTACACCTTTCAACAACAAATGAGGCAACTTAAAGTCCCCAAATAGATTGTTACTTCAATTCTTTTCAACATATTTTTGGGCAGGGATTCAACTTTTCTATCGTTTTTGGGGGGTCTATCGGAATCGTCAGCCTTCTTGCAAGCCCCTGTTTTAGTCCTTCCGTGACAAGCGCACCCTTGTCACGCAGAACGCTCATCACACGAATTCAAAACTGGCATGGGCCCCAAGAAGGCCTTCCAAGCTGGTCCACTCCACTTTTCGAACGTCTCGACACTTCCCACCCGCGCTGTGGGGGGTAGTGCCCGGGTGATCCATCGAATGCCTCAAAAATGCCAGCCTCCCAGGATCGCGGTACGCGTCGCGGTACGCGGGGCTTCGTCCTGGTGCCGTCGCGTTCGCACTGAGCCGGAGGTCCGCTCTCCTCTTGGCCCAGCCGGTCCCGCCTTGACCTCTGGTGCTGCCGCTGCTACTGCTGTACCTGCAGCCACCGCACCGCGCCGGTCGACGAGGCGTGAGGTGAGGCGGAGCGTGCGGCGGAGCGTGCGGAGCAAGGCTCGGTGCGGCCGAGCTTGTCCCGGTTCCGCCATCGAAATGCACGACGTGCTTGACTTTAGATGGGCGATGGGTTGGGTTAGATGGGCTAGCGGCTGGTCAGGGAAAAACCAGCCGCTGGAATTTTAGACACACCCAAATGGGTGAAAACTCACTCTGCTCTGCCTTCATGTGAGTTTTGCCCTTAATGGGACCCGATGGGACGGCGCTTCGTGGCAGGGGCATCGGCATGTTGAAGGAACGAAGCATCTGGTTCGTCCAGGAAAATGCCTTCTGCCCTACCCCCGGCCTGTGAAGAGTGGATTCAGTGGATTATGACCAGCTGATCTATTCGTTCGCTCGCTCGCTCCCGTCATGCGTCCGGTGCTGGGAAGCTTGGCCGACCAAGTTCGGCCGAAGTGACAAAGATCGTTGTCCATGGCTCAACAAGAACGGACTCGTCGCTTCCGCGGTTCCATCGCTTGGATTTGGAGAACATCCAGCGAATGGAGACACCAATGGGGACACCAAATCCCAGCTTTTGCCGGTTCGTCCACTTGTCCTAGCTAGTTTCGGAGTGAGCACCTCAAGCCCCTGATCATTCGATCATTCGCAGCCGTTCGGCTCGAACTTGAGCGACCAACCAGGCTTTGATATGTTAATCCTTCTGGAGAGTGCACCCGTTTTTCTCTTGCAATGTCCGTTCTTTTGTTTCTATCTTTGCCTTCTTGGTATTTGTTTCTTTGAATTCCTTCCTATCCTTCCCTTCCCGTCTCTTTCCGACATGTCCTTTGACCCTCTCTTTCCGACGCCACGCTGGTCTCTCCTCCGGTCCTTTCGAACTCTGGGTTGCCCAAGCGGACGAGTGCTGGCGTTGCTGCTCCCGCCACTGGGCGCACGAGGCCTGGAGCTCGGTCTGGCTGCGGCCATCGTGGCGTGCGGCCGGTGCCAAGTGGCGCCTCCAAAACGGCCCCCTTTTGGCTGCAGTCCAGGTGGTGCAAATGGGTGAAACCGAGTCTTGGTCAAGCTACATGCTTCCAAATGACGCAAGATGATGTGAACACGTTAAACACACAAGGCAAACACGGTCACAGGTCTCTCTATATGAATATGAATGTGGAAAGACCAAGAGGGGACACCTTCTTTTCTGTGTCCGTTTTTTGGTTGTCGGGTTTGCTGTCCAGCCGGGATAAACCCATCATGCACTATATCTTCCCGAGCCGCTTCCCGAGCACTTCCCGTTTCGGAGCATCCCAACTCTTGGCGCCTTGGGGCCCCACGCCTGAGGTCGTGGCGGGTGTGGGGGTCCGAGCCCGGTTTTCAATGCACTTCGTAGATGCGTGGACACCCATCTGCTACCTTTGAAAACACATGTTTAATATATGCATGAATGGGTGTTTAAACGAACAACTTGATTGATGTGAACATGATTTTCTTTGTCTTGGGACCAAGAATATTTCCGATTGGATTTACTTTCCGAACGTAGCTTGGGGAAGCTTGTTGAACTCTGTGGTGGCAAACACTTAGCCCTTTGGCTTACAAAGCTGATCAAAGCTGTAGGTAGAGACAGGGTACCCCGAGTGACCTACTAAGGGGAACTCATCTGTCATGGCTTTTAGCTGCCCAACATTCCCATTCTTTCACTTTCCATGGCGTGCCCTTTTCAATATACATTCTGCAACACTCTGCCTTCGCTCAGCTCGCTCGATGCCTTGGTGGACCAAAGCCACATTTCAGCGTGCAATGCTCCAGGTGAGGGGATATATATATATATACCCTAGGCTTCCAAAACCAATGAAGTGCCCCAGGATTCCAAGAGCCATTGATTTATTGATTTAATGGTCTGAATCCCAAAGAAGCATTGTTTTACTAATAATGATTTTGCACTACAAAACCAGGTTAACCATTGTTTTAATGGTCTTTGAAGGCTAGGGAATATAGATATAAACCTTGAGAGTCGAAGATACAAAGAATGGTCCTTACGACTTAGGAACGACCCGAGTCAAGTGTTCTTTCCTGTACTTCAGTGGGTCATATCGTCGAAGTGGACTTCGTTCGGGTCAAATGACGAAACTCCATACTTCCAACATGTTGATTTGGACAGTTAGGTTTGACATGCTGTTATGTCGGCCTCCAACAAACCCTTCTGGGTCATCTGTTTCTGAGAAACCCGAACTTCTCATCATTGGTCTTGTCTGTTGGCTCAAGGAGAAAATGGGAACCTATCATGAGTGGCACATGGACACCGGTAACATGTCCAGTTTCTCGAACGTGCTTCCGTCTCGAGCAAGTGCGGCTACATGATAGGCAACTCATAACTCCCCACTTCAAAAAAATGCGTCAGATGATGTGATATACAGTAGTTTCAGAGTACATGGGATAAACCAGCTGGAATATGTCTTTTGATGGAGGTCCTTATAAACCACCAAACTTGGGGATTGTGCTATTGCATCTAATAACTCTTGATCTAGAGGTCCCTTAACCTCTAAGGGGCTATTTATAAACACCCCTTGGAGGGTCCTGGTATGAGTCATATGAGGCACATATCACCTGGTTACAGGACGTCTTCTCACGCGGCGCAGTAGTCTCGGTGCTCTCCACCCTCGCCGTTTCCAGGCTCTCCGGGCTGTCGCAGTAGTCGTTCAAGCGCACCTGTCAGCCGTTTCGCTTCGAGCGATGTGACTCGCCGCGAGGCGAGGGGTTTGATCCGAAGGCCCTTCTCGGACTCCATGTCTTCGGGAAGGTGCAACGAGATGACACCAATCTTCGACCGAGAAACGCGGCAAAACGAACGGCAAACCCATTCGGATGTGTTTGGCATGGAGCTGGATGCATGTGTACGCTGTAAATGTCTGCATGCATTGCACATGATTTTGCGGACATTGATGCTTTGTTCCAGCGACCAGTAGGTGTCATCCAAGCCCCTTTTGGCCACATGCCCCACCTGCGCTGATGGTCCTGGCACATGTGCCTTGGTTTGTGGATGGCACGTGTTCGCTTGTGCAAATCAGCATTGAGGCCCTAGTGACATAGCCGAGCAATCGCATTGTCCCGCAGGATTTGGGAGGGTCATGGATTGACCCTTCCTCAAAGTGTGGACTAAGGAATGCTTTCCTTTACATTCCCAAACACTCCATGGCACTGCCGGTTTGAGGGGTCAATGTAGGCATATATTCCATACATGGAGTGTCTGGGATTCATTTACCAGGGGCTTTGGCCTTTTTGGCGGGTCGAGTTTCAGAGCAACTTTGGCAGGGTTGGATGATTCGTCACCCCTCCGTGCATATCTTTGGTTCGTCGAGTCTAGTTCAACATCCGTGGGTCATCCAAAGGGGGGGTGGGTCATAAGGACACCCCGAACATATCACACCTCAAAGGGGCCAATAAATACCAGGGGCCCGAAGCAAACCATGAAAAACAAAGGTTTTCATATACAAACACCATGTTTTTTGCTAGGGAAAATTTGGGTTTTTGATGGGCCATGTGGGGCCGCTGGGTGGACATGCCCCCTCACTGGGGCTCGTTCCCGCCGAGGGGCCGGTGCACTCTGCGTGGACTGGCCCGAGAAGCCGGACCTGACGGGCGCCGAGTGGCGGGAGCGGGCGCCCGAGTCCCAAAGGAGTTGAACGGGGGGGTGGCAACTGGTTTGGGGGGGGGGAGGGTTTTGGGGGGTTTGGTCGGGTTGGGTCAGGTTGGGGGGGAGTATCTTCTCGGAGGGGTTGGATCGGAGTTGGGCCCTTCGATGAAACACCAAGAATTCCGGGTGAAGTATTCCAATCCCAAAGACACACGAGAACGCCGAGCACCCTCCAATTCTTCGCATTCTTTCGTCCGAAGGCACCCAAGCGGTGCAACCCACAGCTGGCGCTGTGCCAAGTTGGCGGAGCATGCGCTCCGTTCGTGGTGCCCGTTCCGTTCGCCGTGAATCTCACGTGGTTTTGGGTGTGTGATTCATATAGCCCTCCCCAAACCCCCCTCCCCCATGAATAGTTCGCTCCCTCTTCAGGCTTCGGGGGTCAACAGGTGGATGTTCAATGTCGAAAACCGAAAGAGCGGGGACCATCGGCTGCTTCTGGTTGCTGAACTGCGCCATCGTGCACGGGACACAGTTCAAATCACATGGATTGACACCCGGGAAGACGATCCCATGGAACCTGAAAATTTTTAGTTGGTAGAGCACCAGGACGTCCGGGTCTATGTGAGTTGACTCGGGAGTGTATGACCCATAATGATCATCTGGTATCCATCTCATATCCATCGAAAGCTATCTATCTATCAGCACCGAAACCAACAGCTCTCCGGTGGCTGGAGCCTGTAGAACTTGTTCAAAGTCGCGACGGTGGTGACCTGTAGGGTCGGGTCCCCTGGCATCCCCTCCTGTCCCACCGCACCAGCTTCTGGTCTCCGTGGTGTCCGTGTCCGCACCTGGAGGACGCTGGGGAGGCATCAAAGGGCCGGCCTGGAGCATCTAACGGACCGCACCCCGACATGGAATGGAACTGCTGCCATTTTTCAAAGCTTCATTCGAGGAATTTCCACATCAATCCAAAGCTTTTCAACAGAACGCTCTCCAGTCTCCAGGTGCTGCAACGCCAGCTCAGTAGAAGTCTGGAGCACCACAGCACTTGGCATGTCAATCGGCAATGCTGCTTGGTACACTCGCGGGCCAGCTGAACCAGCTGATGAGAACATTCAGACCTGCCATTTCCCCCAGCCAAGCCAAATTTCGGACACCATGTCTTTGCTGGTGCTGGCTGGTTCACCCAATGTTTTTAGTCCTTGGCTGGGACAAACTCCACTTTGGGAGGCCTTCGCAAGTAAGCCAGAGCATTTCCCAAACATAGCGGAGAGTAAATGGCACAATTCCCCTAACAGGTGGTTGATATGGCCATCTAAGAGTCCTCTTGGGGGCGCCCTCATCTACTCTGACAGTCACTGTAGTTTCGCTATCCAACATGGATCGCCCGTGAACGGCCTCTTTCCGGGGCTTCGTGGTCGCGTCCTGCATCCGGCCTCGTCGCACGTCCTGCGCTGACAACTCACGGGCCTTGGCGGTGGTCGAGTGAAAACGAGAGCCGATTGTGACAGATGAGGTCATGGTGAGTGTTCAAGGAACACCATGGGGTAGGGTTCTACCATGGTGAGTGTTCTTAGTGACCCCATGGATTGCTTCCACTGAACACTCATGGTGAGTGCTCAGGGGAATCTCTCCGCTGGCTGTGCAGCATTCTGCGATGTTCAGCCAGGTTTCAGTGGAAGCGCAGGGTGCCCCAAGAGAGAATCTAGACTTTTCGAAGGTCTGAGCAGGGGAGATGTCAAGCGCATTCGGGCGCAGCAGGTCGAAATTCATTCAGACTGTGAAAAGCTTGTTCAACTGGTGGTGCCATGAAGCCTCACATGAAGCCTCGATTGTTATTGGCATCACTGTGTAGATCATCTTGGCTCAGCGGTCGAAGAAGATTGCTCACTCCTTCCCAAAGGAACTCTGGACATCTACTGCACATGTAGCCCAAGCCTCCACATACAAGCCGTGCGGTGCACATGCTGTCACATACTGCCACACAGCATCAGCCTCATAAAGGCATCAGCATCGAGCTCCAGTAAGGCAACATCGAAAGACTTCCATTTACGCAAGCTCAAACCACAGTACATGTTTGTCCATTCGGATTCTAGACCCACCCTGTCCATCTGTGCTACTTGCGACGGGTTGCGCCATCTTGGAATCGGCCATCTTGGATGCCCCACTAAGACTTGGTGCTGATGCTGGATCAGCCGGGCAAGCCTTGGTGCCAACGCTCACCCACATCTGGCTTGCGAGAAGTTGGCACATCCACATGAGCTTCACTGTATCTGAATCTTGCATGTTTTCGGGGATTTGTTGGCACACTGAAGTGGCACGCTTGAGGGTGGACACGAACACGCAGCAAGGTTCCTCTCTCTCTCTCTCCCTCTCCCGCTGGCTCGGCTCGCGCGTAAGAACACAAGGACAGGGCTTGTATTCTTGCCATGGGCCAATGTACATGGCACCTGGACACGCAAGTGGAGCAAGGTGAGGCCGGCCTCAACTTGCTACATGCCATGGGCAACCAACACTCCGTCACACCATAGGCCTACCAAAACCACCATGTCATCTATTGTAGAAACATTGGGATGTCATAGGTCAGTTCAGAGAACTTAAAGGTCCACCATCCCCCACCTGGCGCACATCACCGGGCGCCGGAAGCCGGTGGCTGTCGTTGAGCCACACTCGGTTGAGCCCAGCAGTCCGGCGGTTGAGGACTAGTAACAAGAAGCTACGAACGGGGCTCCTGGCCGTACGACTAGGAGCTCCTGGCCGTTACTAGGGGCTCCTGGCATCGCTACAAGGAGCTTTCAGATGCTACGAACGGAGCAAAGTCTTCGAGCCGGGGCGGGAGTCATGCCCGCCATCCGCATCGGCGGGGGTTTGCACCGGAGACTGGGTGTGGGTATCCATGGGTATCCGTACTGGAAAAAAAGCCTTTGACGCGATGAATGCCCTGCAGTCCATCAAGAATGCCGCCTCGTGCCCCAGCGACGCTCAGTTCGGCCACGTGGGTGGAGAGTCTGATCAGAAAGCGTCCGTGGAACTTCTGATCGCCTTTTTCCGTCAGCTGGCATGCAGGTTCCTCCGCCGTTTTTCAAGGGGCAGGACACACACACACACACACACACCCTCACTCACGCACAGTGCAGTGCTTCAAGAGGAGCTTGACGACCTCAGCGCACTTCCGCGTGGCGTCCTTCCACTTCCGCTCGGGCATGGGAAGCTGTCGAGCTTGGGAGAACTCCCGTGGTGACTCCGAGTGAAACGGCGGGGAGGATGGAAGAACTGGATACCCCCGGTCGAAGTCGCCTCCTCCCCATCAGCTATGAGGTTTTTGGATGAACTCTTTTTCGACCTTTGTCCCTCTCGTTTTCTCGCGAGTCCGAAGCTCAGCCGTCCCACACAAAAAAAAACATGAAACATCATAACTGGTGAAATGACGCCCGGGGCGGTTTTGGTGCTCTCCATGGTTACTCAACCCTAAGAATTCATCTCAACGGGGCGCTTTTCCGGTGCATCAGTGGAGAATCCCCCTCATCCCTTCCATCCGATGCCATCCAACGGAAGACCCTTTGGAAGGACCACACGGTAGGGGTGAACTCCCATTTCATATAGAATCCACTCACTCAAAAGCGAAACACCACCGCCTTTTTAACTCCTGGAAGGGCTTTTTGGTCCAAATCCACTTGTTCCCGAACTTTGATGACCCAAACGATCTTTCCGGCCACGCCGGGCACGGCCCGCGTTCTCTGCCACCCGGGAACGATGAAGACCTGAGAGAAATCGCTGGAGAAATCCCTTGGAAATTTGCAGTGGAAGATCTAGGGGTATCATCCACTTATATGGTGTTTGAACACCGAACATGTTGGAGGTGGCTCTGTCTTGAAACAATGGTACTAGTCTATTGCATTCATTCATCTACATCTACTCTAGTTATGGAGTGGATTTCTTGATTTGGCAGCTCCTAACCCCATGCTCTCTTGGAAGGGGCCGTGCCCGGCTGCAAGGCCTTCTCAATCAATCATGCCATACTCATGGTCGGTGCGGTCAAAGAAACACTCCAATCATCACACCTCTGAGAAAGCTGTGGTAAAACTGTGGTGATTGGATGGTGGTTCGACCCAACTATTCCATGTTGATACCATCCAATAATCAAGAAACACCTTGACTGCTTCGAGTTCGTTTTCTTGGTGCGCGCGCGAAGATCCACGAACTGCTCCGCTCGTGCGTGGCCTTGAAAAATAAAGCCGAGGCTCGAGGAACTCTTCTTCTTGTCCTTTTTCTTTTTGCCTCAGCACACACGGACAGTCTGGATTTCTTCATCAAATAAGGTGGGAGAAACAACACGGAGCATCGCAACACAGACTCCTTGGGAGCCGTTTTTGGGACCGTTCACTTGGATTCAGCGCCCGTCGTGCGTCCATGTCATTTCTCAGTCCAGCGTCCAGCGTCTGAATCTGGAATTCGAGGTTCGTCTGTGAGTTTCTCTCCGCGGACGCGAAACTCCACCACATGTCTCTGTAGGTCAGTGTAGGTGTTTTCCCCTTACAACGCTGTTGACTTCGCCGTGGCAGGCGCCAACTGCAGTTTTAAAAAACTGCGTGGTCTTCGCTTCGACTTGCACTACATTGGCTGCTACACTGCTGGGCTCAATGGCTTTTCTTCTTGTCCTTTTTCTTCTTCTCCTTCTTCTCTTTCTTCTTCCTGGCACTGGGACCGTCAGACCTGCACCGGGACCCTTTGAGTAGATCCGGGCCGGGACCGCGTGAGGACGGGAGCACCGTTCACGAGGGTCTGGCCCAAAGACCGAGGCCCAGGGCTGGGTGGTGCCAACAGATTAGACTAATTAGGGAACGATGGAAGCCGTCACTGGTGCACCATGCCACCATGCTGAGTTTTCCAGTGCTGTCTGGCGGCTTGTCTTTCTTCTTCTTGTCCTTCTTTTCCTGGAAACACACCGCCGGACCATGAGGTGCCGATTGGGGCGCTGGCTTGGAGAAAGGCTCGAAGTTTATTCAACGAATCGATGCACTGTGACCTCACTATACGGGGTGATGGAATTTGCCGTGGCCATTGTCTAGTTACTTCCTGGTGCTGAGTCGAAGTGTACTAGTCAAGACTTGCAAATGGCAACAGTACCGCTGTACAGCGGCCAGCCAAGAGTCAGTGACCTTTTCCATACAGTTTCCACGGCGTCTCCACGGAACGACCAACGCTCTTCTCTGCCTTCTTCTTCTTGTCCGGCTGCCTGATGTTGAATCAGTCCCACGAGAAAAAGGAGATCCGGAATGACCAAACCAGCGCCACCGCCCGACCATGCGACTGAAGCTCTGAAGCTTCTTCTTCATCACCTGGTTGAAGGAGGTTTGTTCACCTTGATTTCATGGCTCTTGGTGCTCGATTGTGGCGGATGGTTGCGCCACCCACCGCGACCGCGGGCGCGATGAAGGCCAGAAAGGACCGCTGGGTATCCGGCTCGCAGCCTTGAGGGAAGGAGACCTGGGATGTCCACGAAGGAGACTCCAATCTGGGGTGGAGGATTGGTTCTTAAGGGCTGTCTAATACAATTGCTCGCCATCTTTTCTCCTTAAACAAAACGGCTTCATGTCAAGTTCTCGATTTGTGCGTGTCGACCTTGCGATCTGCAACCCTTAAGTTGGAGTTGGAGTGATGAGTTGATCGGTGTTGATCTCCCAGGAGCCGATCTGGGCACCATCGGATGTAAAGGCATTGATTGGGGGAATCTGCTTTCCTTGGCGGCACCCTCATCACGAGAGGTGTCGACCAAGTCACAGCACAAATGGAAGTGAGTCGTTCGGAACTTCATCAGAACATCGAAGCTCACCGGTTTCACCACTCCCAGCCACTCCATGGGACTGCCATAGGACTGCCGATCAAGCCAGACCCCCAGTCAACCACCCCTGGCCGTTTCTCGGCAGTCCTATGACAGTCCCATGGAGTGTCTGGGACTGGTGCTTGGTCCACTCGTGACGACAGAAGCTCACTTTGACAGAAACCAAGAGCATGGGAACCGAGTGTCTTTCGTTTAGCCATGGACATTCAATGCGTGGCTTCCCACTCGATGGCGAGTCAGATCGCCCTCTTCCCTCCCCACACGCCACACGGCCCCCCCCCCGGATGGTTCCATCGCATGGCGAACGTTCGAAAGCGCGCGATCCGCTGCGCCCCGTGGCGTTTGACCTTTTCCTTCGCCCCTGTGGCGTCAGTGCACTCAGCATCTGCCAATTCCTTCCTGTCAGAGGGCCTTCTGCGAAGTGGAAACCAACCAAGCTGCTTGGCGTCTTTCTTTCGATCTACCGAGGCTGGCAGCGGCTGTGCCACCGAAACATCTCCCTGGAAGCGAAGTAGAGAGGCAATGCATTTCCTTTTGGCACCATGGGGAGCTAAGGAATCGACTGGACTCCCAGGAAAAGTTTCTCCCCCCTCTCGGCCACTCTCGGACAAAAGGCCCTCTGTTCGGTGCCCAACCCGTCGGTCGCACCAACTCCGCTCTTCAAAGCTGGGAGCGACCGTCGTTCGTCGTGGTGACGGCGATGGTCGCAGCGGAGAGGACGACGGTCTTGGAGCCATGCGAAAGACCCGTGCCTGGATCAGTCTCTGGAGGATCCGTCTGCAAGCAAAGATCCCTGGAGGCCTGGAGGTGCTCCCTGACTGCCACCCAAAAGCGAGTACAGAAGCGAGTAGGTGGCTTGCACAAGAGCCAGTGGGCATTGAGAGCAACTTGGAAAGGCATTTTCTTCCTGAGCCCCTGAAGCCCTCTTTCATGATGCGAGGGGAGGGTACAGGTGTAGATAGGAAGTTCATATACATACATGTGGCGATGGTCTTCTACTATGACTTGAGCCTCCACCCACTCTTAACGGCTGTGCCGCCGCCTTTGATGTCTTTGATCATTTAACTAAAAAGGGTGTGGATCCAAAAAAAAGGTTGTGGAAAGAAGGTGTGGTTCATGTTGGTTCTTATGGCAGGTGCCGTCCCATCGTTTTGAAAGATGACTACGTATTCTCAATTGTTACTCTCCACCGGGACTTCACACGGATGTGGAGCTCACCCGCGCAGACAGCAAAGGATTTCATGGTCTTCCGAAACGGGTTCATGCCATCCACGTAACCATGTTAGTTCCACGTAACCATGTACTTTAGGTTGTGCTTGCCTAGAGCCCATTTGACCTCCGTTTTGAAAGGAAAAGACCTTATTTTGGGTGGTTGGGTCATCCAAAATAGAGGTCATTCAGGTTCTAGGTCCTAGGTGATGTAACTATATACCTGGCCTTCGAGGCTATCCGTCTGCCTGCTCCAAATCGGGTTCCGTCTCCGCGGCAGCGTCACAAACGTTTTCCAAAGGCTGGACTGGCGCAGACGTCCACGACTGGACTGGTTGAAGCCATGGAAGTCTGGAACCCCTTGCAGCGTTGACCTGCGTTTACACACCACTTCCATCAACCTCCATGGACTTCTAGGAGACCATTGCTATTACGTTGGAGGCCATCGAACGAAGGTTGGAGGCCCCGTAGGTTGGAGGTCAGCACAAGTAGGAGGCTTCTGCTGATTCGAGTTTCACCTGCTGCGAAGGGGTTCCAGCGTCTCGCGGCCGAGTTGTCTCCACATGGCCGGCGTCGCCCCATTTCAGCGGCGCCTGGCAGCGCACGGCGGGGAGCACCAGTTGCCCAAGGCCACCCACGAGAGGCATCCAAGCAGCCTATCCAAGTTGTCCCCCAAAAAGCTGCTACCCTTGAGAGTCCACGGGAAGACTCATCTTACCCCGGCCTGGTGGGGTAGGTCATGAGTCAAAACCGAAGTTCCTGGTGTGTGGCGAACCCAACAGCAGCACGCTGGAAACACCGCCCCTAAACGGCGGAACCGCGAGAAAGCACGGCGCGCGACATCAACGCCGCCCGCGGCGCGTTCGGCGCCTGGGTTTCATCATTGCTGCACCAAGGGGAAGTAGACATGATTTGGACCCACTAGGAGCATCAGCGTGCGCTCCTCTCGGGCGCTGCCGGGGGCGAAAAACGGAGGAACACCACGGCGAAAAGCATCACCCGCTCCCGCCCGTGGTAAGCGACGAATGGATGTGCAAGACGAAGCGAGACACAAGCAGTACATGGCACTGCTGCGGTGCTCAGATGGGCAAAAACACCTCGTTGAGGTAAATTCTGACGAACACGTCACATGGAAGTGGATGGCATGGTCCCTTGGAAGACGACTTTCCTTTGGAAGCAAAGGGTTTTCCACTTCCATGTGATGTGTTCGTCGGAGTGTAGTTTGCAACTGCTCCATCGATTTCCGGAGGAACGCTCCTGTCATCCATGTCTCAGTATCTGTCAGGCTTGAAAAGAGCAGGGAAAGGGAGGAAGCAATACTCGTCCTACTGCCAAAAACTCCAGCAAAACGGATATACCAAATGCCAGAACTTCATAGAGCTTCTAAAATCACATACTTTTTCTTCTTTACAGGTCTCTTCAACGTCCCAGTCTTCCCGTTGTCTTCTCCGCCTTGGTCGCGTCTACCCCACACGGCAAAGCACGCCTCGGTCTCATAGCCCATGCAGCTCACCTTCACTGAGACGCAGCCCTCGGCCAAGGCCGCTTCGAAGGCGTCCTGGCGGTTGGCCAAGCGTTGCGGCTTCCACGGGTGGGAAAGGAAGGATGGGGATCCAAAGCGCACGGCGAATTGGAGTTCATACTAATATGATGTTGTTGTTGCTGTTGTTGTTGTTGTGGTTGTTGTGGGATGCTGTTGTTCTAGACCATCGATTTTTGTCCCGGGGTTACTCGTCCCATGCAGCAATGCAGTTCTTTCTTTTGGGGTGCATATCTTCTATTTCTGCATTCTTCGGGTCTTATGACTAGACTAGACACTTGCAGGACTAGATCCATCAGGGCGCTCGTTGACCTCTCTGCTACATTTCTCGTTGAACTCCTGATCCTACGAAAGCCTTCGAAGCCCCCGAAGAACCACCGAGCCACGAAGAATCACCCACCTGACTCACCTCCCGCAGGGGTCTTCAACTCGAATGGCAGGGCCAGGCTGCCTGTCCTCGGCAGTGTGTGGCAAAGCGAGCTGCTTTCCATTGGCCTCTAAGCAGGTGACTTCCACCTGTGCAGCGCGGTGCTCCACGCGTGGTTCGCCACGGTGCTCCACGTAGCACGCTGAGAGAACGCTCGGCGAGACGATGGGGAGGTCAGGGTGGACTGGTAGAGATCACACTTGGCTGGACCTGTCTGCCATTGAAGGTGAGAAGTATACCAAGTAATTAAAGAGTGGAGTTCACCAGAGGGGAAAAGAAAACTCCAAAGGAAGTTGGTGCCTGGTGAAACGTGTCAGCCAAATCATGTAACATCCAAAGAGGCATGCAAAAAGGACAGGGGCTTTATATGATGCAAGGTGCATGGTTTGGACATGCCACATGGAGGCCATTTATATAGGGGTCATTTGAAGTCGATGAAATGAGGGCTGCGGAGCTCTCACGGCCTTGGATGGTTTCTGGACATCGAACTTGCTGAACGTCAAGTAGGGTGTGGGCCACCCAAATACCAAGAGAGGTAGCCAGTGACCTGAACTCGGACCTGTCACCTGGGGTACCGAACTGGGAGAGTCGAACGTTCGGGTCCTGACCCACCTCTGTTGGAAGACAGCTAGCAAATAGGCCCAATCATCCAATTAGCGCGCGAGTGAGTGCAGCTGATGATGATGTTTCCATTCGTCCAACTCGGCCACCCCACCAAAAACTGTCTGCTGAACTTCCACCTCTCATTGTCCTGAGGTTTTGGGGTCCCCCTCCGGACATTTGGGTTCTGTTTCATGTTCCCGGTGCCATCGGGTACATGAAGAAAGTGACCACCTTCGCTTGAGGTATTGCTTCTCGATCTTCAGCCGCCCAATCAATGATGCCAAACATCTCCTGCCGTTGTGACGAGGTTCAGCTCGTGTGGTGGAAGGGATCGGGTCTACCGAGCTCTCGAGCGTGCAAAACACGCGCACCTGAGGTGTCCACGAATGCGCGCTGCTTAGCGAGGAAGTCCGGGTTCTCTACGAATCTCTTGGTCACAGCCTGCATTTTATAGATCTTAAGAGGCCAGCACCACCCACCCTCATCCACTGATTACTTAGCCCCATGCGATCTGGGTGCACTCTCTATCCATCCGACTCGCATCGCTCCTAAGAGCTGGGAGGCTCAGCAGTCGAATCTTTGGAACATGCATCCAGCTCGGCCAACAAAGGCAGCCTACGCTGTTTTTGTGACCTGTTTGCGGGTTAGCTACCCGAAATGTCACTTCCGAGGGCAGCCGCTTGGCACTTGGGGCCTTTCGACTGGCAGAGAAATCTCAGCCTTTCGACCTGCCTTTCGGCCACTTCGGCACCACCCAGACCAGACACGCTCTTCCTCCGGAACCCGCTCGAACCGGCGTCAGTCGGAGGTGTTCACGTTCTCGCCTCCGTCACCTCCGGCTGCTTGGAGGGCATCCGGAAGACGTG